CGTGATGCTCAATGGTACTAATGGACCCAAAGAAAATCTCCCCCACACCATTACATTACCACCACCAGCCTGAACCGCTGATACAAGGCAGGATGATCCATGCTTTCATGCTGTCTGAGCCGAGCATCCGAATGTGTCAGCAGAAATGGAGACTCATCAGAGCAGCAACGTTTCTCCAATCTTCTATTGTCCAGTTTTGGTGAGTCTGTGTGAATTGTAGCCTCAGTTTCCTGTTCTTAGCTGACAGGAGCGGCACCCGGTGTGCTCTTCTGCTGCTGTAGCCCATCCGCCTCAAGGTTGGACGTGTTGTGTGTTCAGAGATGCTCTTCTGCAGAGCTCGGTTGTAACGAGTGCTTATTTGAGTTACTGTTGCCTTTCTATCAGCTGGAACCAGTCTGGCCATTCTCCTCTGACCTCTTCAACAAGGCATTTGCGCCCACAGAACTGCCGCTCACTGGATATTTCCTCTTTGTCGGAGCATTCTCTGTAAACCCTAGAGATGGTTGTGCGTGAAAATCCCAGTAGATCAGCAGTTTCTGAAATACTCAGAGCAGTCCGTCTGGCAGCAACAACCATGCCACGTTCAAAGTCTCTTAAATCCCCTTTCCTCCCCATTCTGATGCTCACTTTGACCTGCAGCAGATCCTCTTGACCATGTCTACATGCCTAAATGCAGTGAGCTGCTGCCATGTGATTGGCTGATTAGAAATCTGCGTTAATGAGCAGCCGTACCTAATAAAGTGGCCGGTGAATATATAAACAGTTGTCTGAATTATTCGCCTTCCTGTATATTTCTTTCCCCAATTTCTGTTTAATGGAGAGCAGATTTCTCCAACTCATCTCTAATCATAACAGTGTTAATAACTCATCTCTAATAACTGATTTATTTTCTCTTTGCCATGATGACAGCACATAATATTAGACTAGATATTCTTCTAAACACTAATATTTAGCTTAAAGTGACATTTAAAGGCTTCACTAGGGTAAATAGGCAAAAAGGCTGAAGGGGCGAATAATATTGACCTTAAAATTGGCTATAAACAATTAAAAACTGCTTTTATTCAAGCCGAAATAGAACAAATAAGACTTTCTCCAGAAGAACAAATATTAGAGGAAACACTGTGAACAACTCCTGAATCTGTTCAACATCATTCAGGAAATATTTGGAAAAGAAACAAATTCACAGGAGGACTAATAAATTGGCGTTAGACACTTGTACAAGTGTACGTGAGTGCAGTAGTGAAGTAAAAGCAAACACTGGCCTGGAGAGTTGGCCAGCGAGGCGTGGAAGACGGAGAAGTTGATCAGAGCGTATGAAGCCAAGAAGAAGTTGGAGATGATGGGGGCGATGATGTTTAGCTCCGCTGCAATGACAAGAGTTAGCTAATACAACCTGTATATAATGTTGACAGTACATCCATCTGTAAATATCACCATAGTGTTCCTATAACTGCACTTGATAATTTATACTTGTGTCCTGCACTTGCTGCTGCTGCACTGCTGCTTAGACCTAAACTGCACTTCGTTGCTTGTACTTGTACATGTGTAATGACAATAAAGTTGAATCTAATCTAATCTAAGGAGCTCAGTTTAGAAGAGATCAGATCAAAATACACTGATCAAAATATTTTCTTACTCACAATGTTTGTCCTTCTTCTAGTCTAAACATTAAGGAAGCATTTTTAGATATCTGGACAATAAACTAAACACAAACTTAATGTATTTGCAGAGTAGATTTACATTTCAAGACATTATTAAGTTGTCTTGAGAAGGACTGGCTAGGATAGATTGAGTGGATGCTGGGCAGTTCCTAGGACGTTGCTATGCTGGGTACTCTAAGTGGTTGTTGCTATCCAGTTGTTAATGTGTTCTGAGCGGTAATTAGCATTTCAAGCATGATTACCCTGCTGAAAAATCCAATAGTATCTATGATGCAAGCTGAGATTGCATCACTCATGCAGTGTCAGACACAATGCACTCTAGGGGAGTGAGTGTCGTCACTGTGACGGGTAGGGTTAGGGGTGGGGTTAGGTGAGCCCATTAAAATGCATTGGATGCAGCCCAGATTGCACTGCGCCAGGTCTGCAGCCAGACCCCTCTCGAAAAACCCAGCTTAAACCAGCCTAGGCTGGTTGGCTGGTTTTAGCTGGTTGACCAGCCTGGTTTTAGAGGGGTTTTGGTCATTTCCGGGCTGGT